GACACATCGCACGTTGTTTGATCCCTGATTTCGAATCCTGCGTGTATGACACATCGCCCGTTGTGTGATCCCTGATTTCGAACCCAGCGTGTATGTCACATCGCCAGTTGTGTGATTCCTGATTTCGAACCCAGCGTGTATGTCACATCGCCCGTTGTGTGATTTCTGATTTCGAATATAGTATGTATGCCACATCGCCTGTTGTGTGATCGCTGATTTGAAACACAGCGTGTATGACACATCGCATGTTGTTTGATCCCTGATTTCGAATCCAGCGTGTTTGTCACATCGCCCGTTGTGTGATCCCTGATTTCAAACCCAGCGTGTATGTCACATCGCCAGTTGTGTGATTCCTGATTTCGAACCCAGCGTGTATGTCACATCGCCCGTTGTGTGATCGCTGATTTTGAACCCAGTGTGTATGTCACATCGCACGTTGTGTGATCCCTGATTTCGAACCCAGCGTGTATGTCACATCGCTCATTGTGTGATCCCTGATTTCGAATCCAGCGTGTATGTCACATTGCCTGTTGTGTGATCCCTGATTTCGAATCTAGCGTGTGTGTAACATCGCCAGTTGTGTGATCCCTGATTTTGAACTCAGCGTGTTGTCACATCGCCAATTGTGTGATCCCTGATTTAAAACCCAGCGTGTATGTCACATCGCCCGTTGTGTTATCTCTGATTTCGAACCCTGCGTGTATGTCACATCATAGTAACGCACAAATACAACAATAATAAAATAAAAATTAAAAAAAAAATGTTTATCAATTAGCATAAATTTCTAAGATTTTATGTAAATAGACTCCTAGACTGCTGGCAATGAAACTATCTTTTAAACTCATCAGTTTCTTAAACATGATCTACTTAGGCAAACTTTGAAATTCTTTGTGCATTGAGAATTGTTCTCATAAATTTGCACCTAGCAGATTCAATCTCTGGGTTCCTGCAATCTAAGAAAGCATGCATCTCATTGCCAACAGCTAGATCATCACATAGCATGCATAACCTTTCCTCTGTTGGTACTTGTAAATACCTTAATTTCTCTATTGGTAGTTTATGTGCAGAAATTCTGAATTTAGTGATGGCAACTCTGTGTTTGACATTATTTACATATTTCAAATATGGTTCCAAAGAGTATTCAGATTTGAAATTGTTATATGTACGTAGCTTGTTATTTTCTTTTTTATGTAAGGTTGGAGACCACAAATCTTTTATAAATTTGTGCTTTAATTTATTTTCAAAACTGTCAACATCATGGCCAATCTCATTGGTTTTAGTATTTTCTTGTAGTTTAGTACACAATTTGTCCATGTGTTGCCTGTACTTTTGCTTTCATTGTTGTAGGCAGAATGCACTAACACATGCTGTCACGTGATCTAAAGTTTTCGGATAATCTATGAGAAAATAGAGGTAAATAACAACTGTAGGACATTTTTTCAGAGCGCCTGAGATGAGATGATAAGATGAATTGCATTGGAAATTCAATAACCACACTACACAAGGGTTTCATTCTGAAAATGAATATGATTTTTATATATATTGAGAAGAAGCAATGTGGTATAAATTGGAAAAAAGGTCACTACGTTCTTTTGTCCTAAAATTGTTTCAATTGTTTTATTATCTTTCTTACAGAGAATAGATGTCGTTATGTTGCTGGCTGGTTGCTGCATTCTTCCCCGAGGGTCGATAGCTCGGCAAGGTGTGGGATTTTCATTTTTAATATAAATTGTTATTACCTTACACGCAGGCATGCTCTGCTCGTATGAGGTCTCTACATAACTTTGTAACTTCTCACGATATGACGATATATTGTATCGACACAACCACACACTTGCAATGTATACTATTCTTATTGCAGACCCTCTCGAAGTCAGGATTAAAAGTGGTGTAGTTCGTGGCAAGACTGTGAGTTTGCCTGATGACCGAGGCGATACGCTTGCTTTCCTAGGAATACCTTTTGCCGAGCCCCCAGTCGGAGACCTCCGTTTTCGTGAGCCTGTTCCCATATCAAAGTGGGATGGTGGTTATGATGCTACTAATTTTGGAAATTCCTGCATGCAGCAACTGGAAAAGTTGTATCCTGATTTTCCAGGCGCACAGATGTGGGATCCTAATACACCAGTTAGTGAAGACTGCTTGTACTTGAATGTGTGGACTCCATCACCAAAACCAAATAATGCGGCGGTCATGGTAGGTGTTATTCTTCAAAGCAGGGGACATCCACTACCGGTACATTAAACATACAGTAAAAACATTGGACCGAGTTTTATCAACAAATAATGCCAGTGTTTACCTGCACTGTTTTAGTGATTAGTTTTGAGCTGATTTAGATTAGAGTAGACATGCCTACACAATTATTTATTACGTAACAATTACTAATTAAAATAATGAAACCCGATATTATATCTTGACTTCGACGAGAATTCACTTCCACACCAATTGTTTTTCAACGAATTGGCGCTGAATAGTTGTGTTCACGTTACACGAAGTACGGGCTAAGATTTAAGCTGATTTAGGCTTATCGAGCATATTTGCATTTCGGCTAGACCAAATTGAGTCCACGCACAGGGAGAGCCAGTCGTTAGCACAGGCTAAGGGGCGCCATCAGTCGGTGAACTTTGACAAGCCGCTATTTGCGAACGAAAAATGTATGACACGCGCGAAGTTCTATTTCTGCTGCTGAAATGTTTCGTTTTGAAGCGACGTGCACAGGAACGCGAGAGAAGACGGACCCAACTTATTTGGATGCACAGAAACAGTATACAACGGCGTAACAGAATACAGAGTTTTATTAATGCATGTCGTAGACAGCGAACCAAATTTATTTTGTCTACGATTGGAGCTGCTGTACGCTCTACTACAGCGACCCGATCAGTGTGGAAGCGTGTACACTGAGCTCGGTTGCCATTTTGGGAATGAGAAAGTTAGATATATTTGATCACGTGCATAATGTTCACACCCAAAGGTCGCTGCAGAGGGTGCTTAGCCCTGGGCTAAGCGTTCGCGCACACTTCGTTAGCCCGTGCTAAGGGTCAAGACCGCGTCTTAAATTCGGATCAGATTTAACCCGTACTTAGCATTCCTTAGCCCGTGCTAAGCGTTCACGCACGTTTGCTTAGCACGGGCTATTTGACTCTTAGCCCGTGCTAAGGAGCTGTGCGTGAACGCAACTAATATCGGACATATTAACTTTATTTGCATGATTACATTTTCACGATTCCCGTTCTCATCATCGGAATCGGTATATTGCATTTATATCTCTGTCTTTTCCAATGTTCATAGTCATGCTTACCATTCCTTGTATGTGCTGATCCGAGGGTTTTTTAGTCCGGGGACTTATAATTCGGTCTCCGTCCGTCCGTGCGTCTGTGCATCCGCGCGTCTGTGCGTCCGTGCGTCTGTCCAGAGTCATATCTCAGAATCCCTTGGACCGATCCCGTTCATTCTTTGCATGTGCTTAGTACTTTATGTGGGACATATGCACATGCATTGGTTTAGCCATTCGATTCAAAATGGCCGACTGGCAGCCATCTTGTTTTTTGAAAATGTTATATTTTGGACATGCTTTGTCAGTTTTCATTCAAACTTGGTACATAGATTATACATGTTAGGATACATGTCCGTGACGATTTATTTCACAATTGGATCAAAGATGGTCGACTGGCAGCCATCTTGTTTTTTGAAAATGTCGTATTTTGGACATGCTTTGTCAGTTTTCATTCAAATTTAGTACATAGATCATACATGTTAGGATACATGTTCCCGACCGTCCGTGAGTTCCCGCGTCTGTCTGTCCGTGTGTCCGTCCGTCCGTGCGTCAGTCTGTCCAGAGTTGTATTTCAGAATCCTGTGGACCGATTCCGTTCATCTTTGCATGTGCCTAGTACCTTTTGTGGGACATATGCACATGCAGTGGTTTAGCGATTCGATTTAAAATGGCAGACTGGCAGCCATCTTGTTTTTTATGCGGTATCTTGGACGTGCTCTGTCAGTTTTCATTCAAATTTGGCACATACATGTACTTTATACATGTTAGGATGCATGTTCATGACAATTTGTTTCAAAATCTGGTCAAGGATGGCCGATTGACAGTCATCTGACTTTTTGGCCTTACTACTATATTTCCACAACTTATGTACCATTTTCATTCGTATTTGGCACATACATCATACATATCAGTGTTCTTCATAATCAGATCAAAGATGGCCGAATAACAGCTGTTTTTATTTTTGGCCATATTACTACTACATGGAACACGTGTTTTGATGTAAATAATGTTTATGTTGATATTATACTATGAGGTTATTACAAGGATGCAAAGTATGCACGAAAACAGTACAACAGGAGTATCGATCGTCGCGCAGCTGAGGTGGATGCGATCACGTACTGTCTGAGTGCATACTTTGCAGTATCCTTGTAATAACTTTATTATTATACATCTTTTCCTCCTAGGAGCACATCACGGGAATGCCGAAATCCAAAACGTTTAGAACAGATTTAGCAAACTTCTTTGTGTGGGGTCCGGTCAAACCTTGGGGGCAGCCATGTTTGTTTGTATTACGCGTGTAATCATTCAACGTTTGGAATTCGCGTTTCCTAATATGGTAGGAAGAACATTACTAGTGCAATACCGCAATATTATGGCACGCTGTAGCTTATGGCATTACGGTGACAGATGTATAATAATGTAGAGTACTTCGATTTATTGGATTGTAGATTCTAAACATTGATGAGATACAGTAGTTTACATTAGAAACTTACGTTATAGCCATTGACTGATTTGTGAATTACCCACATTAAATCTCTATTCATTTCCCAGTGCTGACACCATAATGAACACATATAACCTTCAAAAAGTACACTATCATAGGATGTATGTTTTTATACAACCTACACTACTTGAGAACAGTATGTCATGAACTGAATTTACCATTCAGGTTTGGATATATGGTGGTGCATTTATTGGTGGCACAGCTTCTCTTGATGTCTACGATGGGAAATACCTTGCAGGAACTCAGGATATTATCATGGTATCAATGAACTATCGTGTTGGTTCATTTGGTTTCTTAGCAACTGGAGACCAAAGAGCTACAGGTAAGGATGGTTCACGACTTTCTCCAATACGGATCTCATCACGCCAAATAATCATTTACATCACTTTTACAATAGCATTTAAGGTATATGTGAATCTAAAAACAATCATAATCAGTCATTGGACCGGGATGAACAGATGAAGTTCTATGGTCGTCATTCACTTTAACATCATTGCAGAGAGTCATCTGCACATAACTGTCTAGGATTAATAATGATGCATCTGAGGCATGTAAGGCAACTTCATTCACTCACTGTATTCGAGTGTCTTAACAAACCCGCAGTTTTATTTGGGAGCCAATCAT